AGATCTCGGAACGGTTCGTCTTTGGAAGGGTGGGAGGCTGCGGCGGCGGGGGAGCCCGGCTAGGGGCGGCGGCGCGGACTGAGCCCCGGCGCCCGTTCGCCCTGGGGACCAGGGTGCCTCCGGCTTCCAGCGACACGCTGGCCAGGAGGAAATAATCGTGTCACCCCCAGGGGCGGTGCGGGCGAAAGGCACTTCCTGGGGCAGAAGTGCAGCTGTTCACGGAGCAGAAGAAGCGAGGGCTGTCGTCCCCGCTGGGGACAAACTCGCTTGTTAGATGCTGATTTAGTTGGAGTGATTCCGTGATGGGAAGCAGACGAGCATTGCGTCTGGTCCGGTTTTGTAATGGGATTTCAAACTGCGGGTACAGCTAACCCGTCCCTCACAAACCTGAAATCTATGGCGGGAGCGCACTGGCCGCTTGCTGCGGGGAGCCGGGGCAGCCGGATGCCTTCCGGCCCCGCAGGCCGGGTGAAGCGCTCGGGCTAGTGGCACACAAGGCTCAAGGAGGAATCGCGCTCACTGCGTGACAGCGGTGCGTGGCCCCATGGGCACCGCTCGCTGCGCCCCCCCCCCCCCCAACTCCGCGCTCTGACCGCCGCCGGTGCACGGGGCTGGATGGGAACGTGTGGAAGCATAGCGGGGGCAGACGGCGGGCAGGCTCCGGGCAGTATCCCCAGGCCTCCGCAGCCCCGGTGTCTGCAGCCGCGGGAAGCCACGTTCAGGCTGTCGGGTGCCGCTTCTGCAAGGCCATCGGGGCTGCCCTCCCACCACCTTGAACCTGCTGGGAGCGGCAAGCAGCCTCAGACCCCAGGTGGTCCTCTTGCAGGCCAAGTACCAGTCCTGGCCCCCAAAGCTCTTTGTAAGCTTTTGCTCATATAGGCGGGCAGAGTTTTGAGGCCACGGGAAAAGATGATAGGGCTTTTTTGCAGGAGGAAAAGCGTCAGGATTTGGCCTTTTCCTGCCCTGGAGCCACATGGGTGTCCCCTTTGCAGAGAGAGCGCCCTTTGAGCCTCATTGGTAGCAGTACATGGCTTGCCAAAACCTGAAGCGGCTGAGCGGCACCCCACCAGTATCTTGCAGCTCTTCAGGTGCGCAAATTTCGCTAGGGACGGGGGCAAGCCCGGTTCATGGGGCCGGGAAGGCTCTGAGCTGGCTGCCGTTTGCTGGACCTGGGCTGTGGGAGGCTTTGATGCTCGTGTGTGTTAGGGTGCGTTTCCTCGATCGGTTCAACGGCATTTTTAGCCTTTGTAGTTCAATAAAACCTCTGTTGTTTATCTTCACTTGAAATCCCCTGCAATGTCTGCCCCTTTTCACTGAGCAGAGCAGCAACCTTCAGTTATTTGCACATAAATGGCTAAATTCTCAGCTCGGTCCCTTCAGCCCGGCTTCACCAGCTGCCGGCTGGGCTCAGCTCTGTCTCAGGCTGACCTGCCTTTGGCTTCAGGGGGAGCGAGGGAGGGAGGTGGGTCTCCCCACGGCTGCGCTCCCCGAGCACCATCTCTACTGGAAGAAGCCGGCGGGAGCCGGTGCCTTGCGCCGCAGAGCGGAGGCTTCTCTGTACGCATTTGTTGGTGGTTTGGTTTTTCAGGGGTGTTTTGCGTGCAAAGATCAGAGTGTCTGTTACAGACGAAATTTGGATTTAGGAGGAAAATGTCACCCTGCTCTGCGCAGGAGTCAGTCTCTATTCAGCTGCGTCCTGAGGAATGAGCACGGCGGAGACGGCGAGGCTAGGGCTGAGCGCTGCTCTCGGGAAGGGCGCTGGGAATCGGCTCTGTCCTCCCGGCGCTGCTGAGGCCTCTCCTCCCGTCTGGTCTCCGCCGGCCGCAGGAACTTGGAGAGGATTTGGGAGGCGGTGGGTGTCCAACGAGGGCGGGTGGTACTCTGTTTCCAGATCGGAGCCGGGCGGGGGAGAAGGGCTGATATCTTGCTAATTTACTTAAATCGTTGCAATTAAAAACGATCCGTGCCTCAGGGTACGAGTCCTCAGCCCTGCACGGTCGGTATGTCCTGCTGAGCTCTGCCGTCTCTCGCACCCGCCCCAAGCGATAGCACGGTTGGGGGGAAAAGCGGCTCCCTCGGCACCCCGCAAACACCTCTGCACCCCGCAGACACCTCTGCACGCATCGGGCTGGCTCCCGGGCAGAGGCGGGACGCTCGCCGCTGCAGCCCTCCGCCGCATTCGTTCATGCCGTGGCTCGGGCGGTGCGCGGCAGGCGGGACGCGCGTTTCCCGGGGCAGCGCCGCTCGGCGCAGGCATCTCGGGGCGAGAGCGGGACGCGCCGCCCGGCCCGGGGCAGACGGCACCGGCGTGGCCTTGGGCTGCTGCAACCAGCAGCCGCAGCTGGTGCTCGGTGGCGGGGCTCGTCTCGGAACTTGTTAGTCACTTCTGTCTCGGATCTAAGGAATTTTCCTTAATCGCAACGAAGGTAGCAAAACTCTTCCTTCGTTTCCAGTTGTAAGCTGCTAATTTGAAGGAGAAGAGCCGCAGGGCACAGGCGGTTCGGTCTGTGCTCTCTGCTCCTGACAGTTGACAAATCTAAACAGATCTATTTTAGAGAAGCTGTACAAAACTGAAGAGTCTCTCAAGTCTGTTAAGGTGAGGCGGGTCGATGAGCGTGAAATCTCACGGAGGAAATCCCTCGCGGCTCTCACTGCAGCGTGTGATTGCGGGAAAAACGCAAGCCTGCGGCCAGCGGGACAGCCAAAAGCTGGAGAAGGCTGTGAGGAGCAAGGGGAAGCTACAGATTGCAGTGGGAGCCAGAGGGCAGGAAGGAGCCGGGCAGGACCCTGGCAGCGGTCGGCTCAGCCCGGCTACAGGCGTCGCGCCGGCCAGCTCGTTGCGTGCGCCCGCCTCGGACGGGGCTGCGCTGCTTTCTGGCACCGAAATAGGGTGTAATAACACCTCCGGCCGAGTCTTTCCCTTCCCTGTATACGTTTGGCTGTAGAGATTTCCTCTCCTTTATCCGCAGCTCTTTCTCTACATAACTAGTGTTAGCGGCAAAGGATTTATTAATAAAATCAGTGAGGGGAAGGATGAAGACGAGGGCAGAGTCTAGCAGAGCTACTCGTTCGGTCGGAACTCGGGCGCCATGAAGACGCTTTTTGTTTTGTTTTGGGTGGGTTTTTTTCCTTTTTCGTTTCTTCTCCCCCCCCCCCCCCCCTCCCTTTTCACCGGCACAGCACGAACGAGCCGTGCGGACCCCGAAGAGGCTGGGGAAGCTCCCGCGGGGCCAAGGCGCTGTACCGCGGAGCCAGGACTTGCCAGGCGCTCGGCCAGCCGCCCGCTTAGGCTTAGTCTGCCGTCAGGAAATCAGCGGTGTTCGGCTGGGAAAGGGCGATGACCCGCCTGTGTTCCTGTTGGGGGGAGACGGAACTCTCCCCTCGAAGTGCTGTGGGAAGGGCTGAGCTCCTCCTGCCCTTGGGATCAGGGATATTTTCGTTTCGTTTTAGCTTCACCTCCTAAACCTAGCGCCGAGCTAGGGATCGCGGTAGTGTGGCGCAGTAGGGCTGGACGGCTCGTCCCCGACGGCGGGAGCTAAATGTAGGGGCTGCTCCGGAACGGGAGGCCGGCTCCTCGGCTGCGCAGCGCCTTTCCGCATCCGCGGGGGCAGCGTCAAAAAAGCGCACCCGGGCAGGAGGTCAGTCCCCATGGGTTTCTCCGGGCCGGCCTTTATGCCCTGCTCGGGCTGGGCAGCGGGTAACGGAGCCTCGACGGCATGCAGCGCGGCGGGCAAGGCGGCAGGGCGGAGCGGCGCAGTGGAGGTCGGCAGGGTCGGCGCAGGAGGGGCCCGGGCGCCCCCCTTAGCAGGTGGTGCTCGCCCAGCCCGGCCGCACCGGAGCACCGGGGCCACAGTCAGGGTTGAGCAGCGGCTGGCTCAGGCTGCGCCGGCGCCGGTGCCCGCGCGATGGCGCTGTGTGAAGGGGAAGACGCCGGGATAGGTCGGGCGGGTGGTCCGGTCTCGGCCCCGAGGAGCGGCCTCGGGCTTGGTCCCATCGCGATGGCAGCCGCTGGGAAAGGAGCCCAGGCCGAGAGTGAGCAGGGAGACGGGAGCTCTCGCCTGCGGAAGCCGCTCTCCCCTTCCCGAGTCCGCCCGCCCCGGCGGTGCCTGCTGCTGAGGCCGACCCCGCGGGCACTCGGCGCTGCCCCACCGGGGCTGCGGGACCACCTCGCTCTCATCCTGCCGGCCGCTGCATCGTCGCGGCAGCTCTGGGCCTCCGCGCTTCGAAGTAGTGCCCGCGGGCGGGGGGCCGGTGCCCCCCGGGGCCCAGGTGTGCGGCAGCCGGGGTCCCTCTTCGGCCCTGGCCGCAGCGCTCTGCCGCGCCGGGGGGACACCAGCCCGGTGGTGGGGCTGGCGTCCCACGGGCGCCGTGGCTTCCGGGAGGCACTGGGCGAAACGGGAGGAAGCCGGCGGAGGGGAGAGCACACGGGAGCCCGGCGGGTTCTGTCGGGGACGGCGGCGCTTTCGGGAGCAGCTGTGCGGGGTGAGGGCGGGCCCGGTCCGGGGGGCAGCACTGCGGGCGGCCGAGACGCGGGAGCCTACGGCAGCCCCAGCTGCAGCCGCCCGCCTCTGAAGCCTGTGCAGGCACGGAGCTCCGATCGCTTCCATGCGTTTTGGCTTTAAAAGCGATAGTTAATGAAAACCAAACCTTTCCAAGGAGGTGTTTTTGTTCATTTGTTTTGTTCGAAAATTTTTTGGCTATCAAGCACTTGAGGCGTCTATAAACTTGGGTAACGAGGAGCGCTGGGGACTCGGAGCGCACCCACTCCTGCTCTCACCAGAGTGCAAGAGCAGAAAAGTCTCCTACTGGAGCTCGTGTTAGAAAACGGAAAAGACGTTGTTGTTATTATTAATTAAAAAAGTATTAAAAATAAACAGTTCTTTTTATAGCGAGGTTTATAGCTAGGACGAATGGGAAAGCAATGGGAAATAATCGCCTTTTTTTTCCAGTGGAAATAAGGACAACATGTGAAAATTACGCACTGAAGAAAAAAAAAGGCATTTGTAATTTGAAACAGAAATAAAAGGCTTTTATTCGGAAAAAATATGTAAAAGAAAAATAAGCATCGTGTATCATAAAATCTGTCTAAAATAAGTGATGTTTACAAACCAGAAGTTACCAACCAGCAAAATTTACACGCGCTTGGTTCTGTTTCCCCTCAGTTTTACGAACAAGCCCTTTTGCTTCCGCGTCGAAACTCTCAACTGATTACCGCTCTCGATTTCGAAATTAAAAGAGTAATTTGTGTAAACGTTCAGTTTACAAACACAGGAATAAACACGTATTTGGCAATGCCGATATTCCAGGGAACGCGCAAATAAGAAACCAGCTGTGGTGGGGAAAAAAAACCGAACGGGAGAGAAAGGTGCAGGGTATTCATTGCAAATAAAGCAATCGCTACATATATATTTAAATGTATTTAATTGTATGCATTATTCAAATGCCCTTCTGACTAGTTTAATAATTTAGAATCGATAGTTTTCCTAAAAACTTTATAAAATATTTACCCTTTATAAAATATTAATCGATTAACAAGGCAGCGGTGCTCTTAGAGGAGCTTTACTAAAGTCCTGTAATCGCTCTGCCGCCACACGTCTCCGCTGGTAAGGAAAGGATCACTGACAAAATGTAAATGAAGATCTTCAAGACGGTGGTGTTTATAAAAAAGCTCATTAATGGGCTTGGATTGAATCTCTCCATCCATCCACATCATCAGATATAATAATAGTAACGAATCAGACAGGGAAGATCCTGGCTAAACCATTGGCATTTTTTTTTTTTTTTTCCAGAAGTACTGAAGTCCTAAATCACCAATTCTTCTAACTTTCTGGCCATTGATCCGCGGGGATTCGTAGTTCAACATCAAAGGTAAGAACAAAACATTATTCGATTATTCGATAGCTGGTGGAAAAGGTTCACTTCCATGTGAGAACGGCTGATGAGCTTTATCGGATTTAGGGGAAGAAAAAAGGGGGGGGGGGGGAGAGAGAAAAGTTAGCTCGACTTATTTAAAAAGAAAACCGAGAGTTCTCCAAACTTTGCGTCTCCTTTCCGAAAGGGACGGCAGGAGGAGACCTGGCCGGCGGCAGCCGCTGCAGAGCTCTCTCCTCCTCCGCAGCCTCCCCGCTCCCGGCACCGGCGCTCGCTCATCCGACAGCTCCCGGAGCCCCGACCCTGGCGGCGGCCCCCTTCGCCCCTGCCTTCCGCTGGCCCCCGCCTCTTTTCTGGCTCCCCCAAACTTCAGCCGGCGGCGGGATGCGGCTCCCACCCCCGTTCGCGGCTTGCTTGTCCCGAGGAAGGCTGGTACCGCGTCTAGACTTTGGTGGCGGGCTCCCCTGCCTCTTCCGAGGAGAGAAGAGACGCGAGTGCTTCGGCCGGGGCGGGAGAAGCCGCACTCGGCGCTGCTTTTCGGGGTCGGACTTGGAGCGAAGCGATTATTTCTCTTACCCTGACCGGGGATCCGCTGCTTCTCCCGGCACCGCTTCCAGGGAGTCCAGCGAGCCCCGGGCGCTCGGCGGGCGGGCGGGCTTGTCACTGCCGCTTGGGGGAAACGAGGGGGGCAGCGCGGGGCCAGCGCCGGCCGTACTCCCGCGGGAGACCTGCTCTTCCCTCCTCCTCTTAACCCCAGGGCATCACTGGTGGGGCTCGCCGCTCCGGGACGACTGCGTGCGGGCTCGGGGCTACCCCTGCTGCCCACCCTGCACTCCCCGGGCCTTCACGAGGCGGACGGAAACCTGCCGCCAGGGCTGCCCGGTGATGCTCCCTCCGTGCCCCGGGAGAGGGGGGGTCTCCCCGACGCCCCCAACCACCCCCCCCCCCCCCAGCCCCCTCTTTTTTTGACCCTCCGGCGCCACCGTAAAAGGCAGAGCTCTTAAGGGGGCACGGCGGGGAGGGCGGTGCTCTGAAGGGAGCCAGCGGCGGACGGGAGGTGTGTGTGGGGCGGCAGTGGGCATCCCGGTGCCCACCGCCGCCCTTACTTCCCCACCACCTTCCTTCCGCCTCCCGCCTCCCGCGCTGGAGGGGATTTCCTCGGTCCACCTTAACGCGGGGCTCGTTCCGCCGCCGGGCGGGGAGGGCTCGGCGGTTCGGGGCCGCAGGCTCATTCCCCTGCGCCCCCCGGGCCGGGCAGGGGGCGCTGCGAGCCCTCGGGGCGCGCTGCCGGGCATGGCCCCGCCGGGGGAAGCGCCCGCGCCGCTGCCGCCCGCCGCGGGGAGAGGCGCGGTGCACCTTACACTCGAGGGGGAGGTGGCTGCTGCCGAGCGACCGGCGAAGCGACCGAGCCCGCCCCGCCGCGACTTCCCGGCCGGAGCCTTTCCCTTCCCGCCGGCTGCACTTAGGCAGCGCTGTCATGCCCTACCCGGAGCACCGCTATTAAATAATTTAGCGGTGGCAGCAGCAGCTCTTCCCTGGCGGCTTGTCACCTCCTCCCGGCCCCCACCATCAATTATTCAGGGCCAGCCCGGTAACTGCCTGGAGCCGGGAGCGGGGATCAGAGCGGCGGTTGGGCCCTACCTGCGGCCGGGCCGTGCCGCCCGCTTTCAGCTCCCCGGAGGAAGCGGGACCGGCCCTCGGGGCGGCAGCCCCGCCGCACCGGAAAAGTTGCTGCCGCCTCGCCCCGGCCGGGAGAGGTGGCGGGAGGGTTCTCGCCGTCGCTCGTCGCCCCGGGAGGGTCGCGGTGTGGCAGGAGGTGGTGAGGCCGTACCGGCTGCGTCGGATCGACCCCGGCGCCTGGACTGGATGCCGGTGGCAGCTTCGCTCCTCCCCGGTCGGTCCAGTCTCCCTAACTCCGACTTCCCCTCTAAGACCCCTTTCCCCCCTTCCCCTTCTTCTCCCAGCTCCTCCTCCTCTCCTACTCCCCCGGCCCTCCCCCAGCCTGACTGCCCCTGGCCTTGCGCCCTTCCGCCCTGGGTCTCTCCTGTCACCACCGCCTCGTCCTGCCGCGCTTCCCCTTCCCCACCCAGCCCGCCCTCCTCCCTCACTCCTCCCTCTGTGCGGCCCCGCGCTCGCTTTTCGTGTGCGAGATGTATTATTTATTTATTGGTGTTTAATTTCCTGCCAGGTGGGTCTCTGCCTCCCACCCCTGGGCGCAGCGGGCCGGCAGCGCTGGGGCTCCGCGGGGCGGGCCGGACCCGGGGGACGGGGGGGGCTGCTGCGCGCCCGTCTGCGCCCGATCCCGAGATAGCACCGAGACTTGATTTTTGCGGGGGGGCGGGAAGGGGGAGGGGTGTCGGAGGCGAGGAGGGGTGGCGATGTTTGGGATGCACAGCCCTGGGACGGGAACGCCGCGCAGACAGACAGGCAGACACACACACACACAGGCGTGCACACACACCAAACCCGAAACCAAGGACAACCCCAAAAAGGACTCACTCTGCCTCGATGACTCAACGCAACTAATAACCGTTTCTCCGCTCTCTGTGGCGACTCCCTCCTGCCGCTGCTGTCGCTGGCAGAGGAGGGAGCGATTGAAAGTGACACACCGGGGGCCGCCGCCGCCGCTTCCCCGCGCCGCTAGGCACCCGCCGCCGCCGCGGAGCAAGGGGTAGCGGCGCTCCCTCCTCTTCTCCTCCCCCCGTCTCCCCCGGTATTGATTTTCTCCGCGGAAGGTGTGAGAAGTCGGCTCTCTCTCCTCTCTCCTCCGCGCCGCAGCCGGCGGCCCCGCGGCTCCCCGCCCCTCGCCCCGACCTCCCCGCTCCGCTCCGCTCCGCTCCGCTCGCTGCCCGGGATCCTCCGGGAAGGGGCTCTGGCCCCTGCCGCCCCGCGCAGCGCGGGCAGCAGCCGCGGCCCCGCCGCCTCGGCACCCCCGGAGGAGGGCAAGGAGGGGGCTGGGGGTGGGGGGAAGCAGTAGAAGGGAAGAAAGCGGCGTGAGAGGAGGAAGCAAGAAAACTTTCCACCCTGGATTCTCTACTTCTGATCCATGGACAGAGCCCAACTCAGCCAACTTACAGACAGGCTATAAGCAGTAAGTACAGCGGCAGCTCCCGGGAGCTGCTCGCTAGAGGCTTTCTCGCCAGCAGCCGGCTACTCGGTGGCTGCACAGCTGGCCGGCGCGGGGGGGCCATGCCAGCGGGGCCGTCCGGACTGGCAGCCTCTTCCCCACGGCTCCCGGGGGCGGGCCGGGGCTGAGGCCGGACCCGGGGTGCAGCACCTGGCCGCGGCGGGCGGGTGGGCTGCCCGCCGGCCTGCCCGCCGCGATGGGGGCCCGGAGCGCAGCGCTGCCTGCCCCTGCCCGCCGCAGGTTGGGGCCGTGCATCGGGACTCGCGGGCCGAGCTGGTAAAGTGGCCCGGCCAGGCCGGGGCCGTCGAGGCCGAGCTGTTCGCTTTCAGCGGGGGTGCTTTCTCCGGCGGTGGGCGCGGGGCGGCATCGCGCTTGGCCGGGCACTCGCCCGGCTTCGCTGGGCTGAGCCGCCCGGGGGACACGCTGCGGGGGCCTTGGCGGGCGAAGGGGACCCGGTGCCGGGCGGCTGTCCCGGACGGCGGTCGCTGAAGCGCCCCTTGTTTCTCTTCCCCTAGGTCCGTGCTCCTTCTACTGCGACCTGCCAGCGGGAGCCGCGTCTCCGAGCATGGAGCGGAGGAGTGAGAGCCCCTGCCTGCGGGACAGCCCCGACAGAGGCAGCGGCAGCCCCGATGTCAAAGGGCCCCCTCCCGGGAAGGTGGCCAGACTGGAGCAGAACGGCAGCCCCATGGGCACCCGAGGGAGGCCCAACGGCGCCGTCACCAAGCCCGTGGGAGGTAACCGTGCGGCCGCGCTCACGGCGACACCGCCGTCCGGCACGGCCCGGCTTGGCGGCCCCGCTGGCACGGGGGCAGTTGGCGGGCGGGTCGGCACCGTGCGCGGAGGGGCGGCAGGTTCGTGTGGTGGCCGCCGGGCTGCTGCCCGCTTTCACTGGAAAGCGTTAAGCTGCTCAACTCCGCTGCGGTGCCGCGGTCTCGGGGCAGGAGTGGGGCCGAGGTCTGCGGCGTGCAGAGCCCGCTCGGCAGAAGGCCGCCTTTCCCCAAGAGGCCACCCCTAGGCCCGAGCTCTGGCTGGGCGGCTCACAAAGGCCAGGCCTAATCGCGAGCTGGGCCGTGCCCTCGGCGCTTTCTGCGTGAGCACTGGCGGATCGCGCCGGGGCAGCACCCTGGCCTGGCCGGGAGCTGCCAGGGGCCCGGCATCGTCTCCAGGTTAGGTCAGGTCACCCGGCTGCGTTCACGGGTGCGGGTGGCATGAGGTACGTGTGTTACACCCACCGCCACAGCGCTGAGAGCGGGGTCCCCCGGGTGGGAAAAAATGGCAGCGTTTATGTTTGCATTTAGGGATATGTTTGGAGTGGTTTTAGTTTCCGTGAGTAGCGTTTTGTAGCCGTTGTGAAAGAGGACAGGGCAAAACGCGGGCAGGGTTTAACTCAGCCAAATTACCGAGCATTAGTTGTTCAGCATTCCTGCGATTCTCTACTTCAACTTTCATATGTACTTTGGTATCTAGTTGTTGGTCAGTTCTGTGTTCAGAGCATAAGTAACGCTTGTGGTTGCTTTTATTTTTCCCTTTTGTTCCAAGTAGCTAAACTTTCCAGTCACTTCTCCTAAATACCCTCTTTTTTTTTTCATCTTGACTCTGATACTACATTTAACACGGTATTCCTCATGTTAGGAAAAATACCTTTAAAAAACTTGGAATTAGCCAGACACTGTGAGCAAAATAATGCAGGGCAGGCCACAAATAAGTTGACCTTAAAAAAAATCCATCTCCTTGTATTTATGTTTTAAAATGTGCAGCGTGGCAACACATAAATGTAGTTGCTTGTACACAACGAGTTTGTGTAAATGACACTTCAGGAGATACTTTGATATGGTCATCACATGACTCTCTATTACGTGAGATTTATTTAGCTATTTTACCATTAGATGCTTGTTTTAGACCTCTTTGGCTCAATAGGCTTCCTAATTGCTGAAGTTTGCTAAGGAGCTGCAGATTTTAATTTGATTTAAGAAACATAGGATTCATTTATGTACCTAATGAAGGGTAAGGGATCTCACCAGTTTTTTATGTTTCTTGGATGACTATATGTCTGGGTTTTTAACGTCTGCTTTGTGTTCTACTGTTATGGGAAAAGAAGAATCAGCTTTGCAGTGAAAGACTTGTACTATTCCATTTACAAATCAGTGGAGGAATAATCTGTTGAATAATTGTAAAAATGAACTAGCTAATCATGTAAAAAGTAATAGATGTAGTTTTGGATGCCTTTCTTGAGACTGAGGCGTTATAGCTGGTTTTAAAGAGAATGTGAGAACTGGAACAAAAATCTTTTTCCTGGGGGCATTTATAGAAATATACTTTAAAGGAATATTTTTAAATGTTTTGGAATATGTGTTGCTTTCTAATTGCAGCTGTCTTTGCCAAGAGAAATTCACCGGCTTGTATAGTTATATTGATGGTTCAGCTTGAATCTGGCCTGTTAGGTTATGGAAGATTTCTTCCACTTAAGACAAAGACTCATTTCTGAAAGCAAACTTTTAAGAGCTTACATTTTCGTTCATTGCTCTTAAGCTCGTTTATAAACTTGGAGTAGATTGGAGTGTAAAAGTGTGTGGGGATAGGAAATTCAGGAGGCATTTTATTATTGTTTTGTTTCTCCTTAGCTGGTGTTCTTTAAGCAGTCTCAATTTCTTTGGTTTTAGGCTATTCATAATAAAGTTTATTCATTACTCCTTATTGATACTGAAAGCAAAAAGAAAATTATCTTTGTGTGAATACTTACCTAGGTTCTATAATACTCAATACTAAATTAGTTAAGCCGGATTTTTTTAATAAGATAATGGTGCTGTTTAAAATTGATTTCATTTTTTTTTCCTCCTGGAACTGCTCTCAAGATAAATCAGTGTAGTTAATTTCCAGATATTTTTTTTTTCTCTGCTCTTTGCACGTTTGATCTTTAAGAACCTGTGTGACCAAGTGATCTTTTTCTGAATGCAGATCACACCGGTTCGGGTATTTCTGGAAATCTGTGTCTTTGCAGTGATCGCTGTGGTGTTGGTCATTTTTTCACTTGAGTTGTGGAACGCAGCTGTAGATGTTCGTGGAGATGCTGACTTAACATACTGGCACATTAGTATAAAATGTCTCTTCAAATAAATGTTAATAAAGGCTATTTTAGTATTGCTCCTAGTGTTTGATAAAAAGGAAACTGTTGAAAGTCATAGTGAAATCACGTCTAAGGCTTCAGTTGTCAGTCTTTCAGTTTATTTGTATTTTTCAAGCTCTAAGAAGCGCTAGCATTTATTGAATGTGAACTTAATTTGGGAAAGAAATTAAATTTTTCTGGAAACTAGAGACCATTTTAGGTTTTATTTTATTTTATAAAGTGTATCTGAAGGTTTTGAAAGAAAAGACAGATGCTAGCAATTCTTTTTTTTCATCTCATTTTGGGCCTTAGATATGTAAATGCAGAAATTCCTTCCTACTTGTCAGGTGGCTTTTTGGTGTAATAATATCTGTTTCTGAACCTAATCCCTGAGAGCAGAGCAATAAGCTCTCAACTAACTGGTGCTGTGATGAGCCTGATGACCTTTGGTAACAAGTTTTATAATCGTAGTGTTTGCTGCAATTATTTTTCCAGTGACTTCCCTGAGAAAGAGAAATATTGTAGTGGTGTAGGTGTTTTTAGCTTTCTCTGTAGGTTTATGAGTGAAAAAATGTATTAAAATAAGCTTTTGTAGTGCAGACAGAAAATCAATTATTCTCATGAGAAATTTTGCCTTATGACTCTACTTTTTTTTTGTTCCTAACCTGAATGTACTTAATTCAAAGAGCCATTATAACAGCAATAATAAACTAACGAAGGTCACAAAAAAGATAAACGGGGTCTTAAAGGTTGTGTTTAATAGGGGATTTAAAAGTTTTGGTACTGTTTACGATGTTGTTAGCGTCAGTCCAGCGTGTTAAGAGTCCAATTTCAGTTTGCCTGACTAACCCAGTGCTCTCTGAAATGTTTCAGCAGTTATCTAACCAGTCTGTTTAAAAACCTGCATGTAATAAAGCACAAGTGCTCAGATGTTCAGGAGAGGCAGGTTTTAGAAAGGTCCCTGGCAAAAAAAGGCTTATATCGCTTTAAAAAACATATGAAGCCTGGGAGAGAGTTTAGAGCAAGCAAGAGCACTATGGTGTTGACAGCTTTATATCCCTGTTGGGTAACATTCACTTACTAGAATTGGCGTCTCCTCTCAGTTAGTAATTCACTCCATAAGGATTAAAAAAAAAAAAAAGGGATGATTAATGGCTAGGAAACGTATATTTACAAAATTGTTGATTTCAGTTCATGAACTTGTTTGTATATAAGTGGATGTGCTTATATATATTGTATGCGTTGGTTTTGAAGAGCATAGATAATAAGCATTGAAAATCTCTGAATGCAGCTTAAAATGCTGGTGTGCAAAATGAACTGTTTCGAAGTTTGGTTTTGCTGAAATAGAAGCATAGAACCAAAATATAGCCAAGAGAAGGTGTTCAAATTTGGAGCAGGAAATAACTGCAAAAATTTGCTGGTTAGATTAGTTTCATGCAGCCTGACAGTAATACCTTCTTATTGATGAAAGTGTTAAAATAATGTGATTTAATTTGGAGAATAGTAATAGAGGAGAAAACTTTCAGACAATTCATACTGAATGGTATGTTCAGGGTGATCGGGAGCTGTGGTTACCATGCTCGTACAAACTCAGATGCACCAGAAATCGTATGCAGTGACTCTTCAGAGGGCTGCTGCTGGTTGCTGTAAGCCCGGTAAAGTTCTGATGTGTCGCAGTCTTGTCTGCTTAGGTGTAGTTAGAAATCAGTTTTAATATGTCTCGGGGGTGACAGAAATGCCGACTGAGGATGGTTGAAGACCTGTTTGTCAAAATCCATTCTGAATATTTCTGAAAAATTGTCATAGGGTTTGTGCTACCTTTTATATATTTTACAAGGACTTAAAAGTACTTTACTGGAGAGAAAATCCACTTCTGTACAGTTTGATCAAATTTGCTCCTCAGTTCTAAGCGGTTAGTTAACATTAAGCTTTAAATGGTATCCTGACGGGAGTAAGGAGGCATGTTTCACTTGTCCTTACCAATTGACTAAAGTGAAAGGTTAAGTTTTAGACAGTCTTCTTGCCTGGATCCTAGATGAAGAATATCTTCCTGCTGCCTGAAAGAAGTATACGTCAACATATAGAAGCGTGAAAGCACACAATTCCTTGTTAGTTCAGGAAACAGCAGTATGTGAATGTATTTCATGTTTTGTTTCTGTTGCAAAAGAGTTGGAAAATGTTGCTTTGTACTTTGATATAATTCAGTAGGGGTGATGAGGGAATGTAAATTCTTCGATTTTACGTGTTTCTGATACATAAGGAGGAAGAGGCTTCTAATTAAGCAGGAACAGTAAGAAAAGAGAGACAGTGATTTCTTTTTCATGCCTGATGGCTAAAAATGTGTTTCTAGTCTTTTTGCTGTTTTCCACCCCAACCCCCCTTTTCCAATCAGATTATGTCATGTGAATGGAATAAACAGAGCAGTCACTCCTGAAGAGTCATGTAGTGTATCAGCTGTATTTTTTGCTGAGGTAGAAAAAAATAGTCTTTATGTGTTTCAGTACTTGGTCTGTTATTAAAATAAAGACACAGTTGGTTAAAATACATGTCCAATTGAACATACGCATTAAACAGAATATAGGGTATCCACCCATTCGGTGACCTAGGCATAATTTGATGTTTGGAGTAATT